AGATAACATAATTATGTGAACTTGAACTTTAAAATTACAGTATAGCTACTACTAACCAAAACTAATTCAATCCTGCTGTTCTATTACTTTGCTTTCTGCCACAAGCTCAGACCTTAAGTGCTGCAATCACATAGGCTATATAACACAGGTGTGATTACTCAATATTATCTTTCTCAATAACAAACTTAGGGACCAAGAATGTTTATTACTTTGGATTAACTGTAATTGAGCAATCATCTAAGAATTGCTAGAAAACTCTTCTTCAGTTGTATAACTAGAATAAAGAAAGCTGCACAATCATTTGTTTCTCATGTTGATCTGTAAACAGGGCCTTTCTTAAACCTATATTTCACATTTGAGAATTTAAATGTGAGTTTTAAATGCAAAAATAAATGTTTAATTAAAAATAATCTGTGACTGACCTGTTGCATTGACTAACATCAAAACGGTTTAGGTAAATAACCAAATCAGATTTTTGATGTTGTAAAATTCACCTAAAATACAAAAATGGCTTTCCTAAACTTCTAAGAATAAAATTTGATTTATGAAATTTGATTATGGAAAAATTTGATTTTTTCCCCATAAGGGGAAAAAACTGATTTCATATTAAGTGAAACATAAGACCACTGTTCTCTTGACTCTGATTTAAGTAAAAAAGCACAAGTTACCAATGATTAATACAAATCTTTTCATATCCTTGAAGACACAAATAAATTTAACTAAGCCTGAGTCACCAGCACTTGATTTTTAATGTAGCATTTAGCATAAGTGTTCACAATAACAAAAAAAATTATTTTGGTTAATTCCTACCTCTTAATAAAACTCACTAGTTGCAACAGCAATTTTTTTATAGTCAAATACCATCTACTTCAAATTTACTGCACTTAAAAAGAATTTTAACCACTAATATTAATCTTTCATATTAAATAAATTTTAAGTAATAGAAAATATTATCCTTTCAATATTAATAAAAATGTAGTCTCTATATACTCCCCCAACTTGTGTAAGTTAGAAAAGAGATAGTGAGCCACTGCAGTATTAAACCCAGACGAAAAGCCAGCTAACATTTATACAGCAACATCTCAAATCATATCCTTTTTATTTTGCCAGTGAACAAAAATGATCTTACTGTAAAGTTAAAATAATTCTATATTCAACATTAAAAAGTCTCACTGGATACAAGTATTGAAAATAGTCCCCTGATCACCATGAATGTTTGAGATGTAAATGTGTTCACTTAAACAAAAGTTTTAAATTCAACAAAAAATTGGGCACTTACCATCTGCTAAAAAAGTTATTACACATTATTAACATATTTTAAAAATAAATATAGCATCTTCTATGAAAATTCCATTGTAACATTTCTTAAGCAGTTTTTGATAGCTCTTCAAAGTACAATTGGTTGTATACATTTCAAAGACACAATGGCAGTACACATTTAATTCCCAGTAGTGAATTCCCAAAAAAGCAGAGCTTTAGGATGTACATAATCACTTTTAAAAATAAAACCATAGGTTTAAGAATTTGATGCATGAAAATACATATATTATTCTTAGAAATAAGAAACCAATTTAAGAAGTTATAATTTTAATATGACCACTAAGGTATGTATGCTGGGAAGAATTTCTCCTAACTCATTAATTGGCTTTCTCCTCACTTCTTTATTTTTAGATCGAAAACATCTTAGAACTTGCTGTGGTATATATGGTAAAAAATTTCTGACTAGAAGTTGTGAGGAAGACAGACAGAGAAGCCAAAATTGTAGGAGAGTTATCAGAGACCTGAAAAACTGAAGAAAAATGGAGAAGCCCTCTAAAAGGTTCTAAACTTAAAATGAGATCAAGGGGATCCTATAACTCATACTGACAACAAAAGGGAAGTATGATCAAAATGTAGTCTCTAAAAATAAAGTTTACTCTCCAATTACATTACGATTTTCTATAAATCCACTTAAACAGATAACTAATCCCTGAAACTCAACTATCCTAAGAACAAAGACCATTTGACTAGTTTTCCCCCAAGGGACCAAACATTTCAAAACTCTGGCAACAAAATTAATGCCTAACCCTTTAAAAAATTTACCTCGACAATCCTAACATAAAGCATAATCAACTGGGGTGTACATTAATAAAAACCAAACATTTATAGTCATGTTATTTATAAAGTAACCATTTAAAATAAAGTACAATATACTAAAAAAAGCAAGTCTCATTTTACAGGATCCAAAACATTAAAACAAAAAGAAACAAAATCAAAGCAATGAAGCAAGCCAGTATGAAGAAAACTAGCAGAATGAAGGCAGCTTTTCTTATAATTTCTAACTTGATGTTGTTTGAAGCCAAGTAAGTTCAAATGCTTTACGTGTCTAGGCCTGACCAAGGTCACTCTCAAGAAAAACATGGTATACACAGTGTTTCCTTCTATGGCTACATTAACTAAATTTCCCATATTAGATAGTAAGTTTAAAGTACCAACCTTCTTAACCACAGTTTTTAACCACTTAGTCTTTAAAATGCATAATCTTGACACAACAGTTAAGGATCTAGACTTACATGATCAGTCAGCATATCACAAATCCCAACACAACTCAACATTTCACTTTATAATGAAGTATTTCAGAGACTCTAAGTAAGGTTATGTGCTTAGTTTTCCATGATAAAACTCCCTGTGCCAGTTATCTCTACAGTTATCTACAGCATAGAAATTTGTAAATCTAGTTCATATATGAACTTCATGATTCTCTTTTCCACTGTAAATATTTTAGAGCATAATTTACAATAGAATAAGAGAATCATGAAAGGGTGTATACTCTCCAACCTTTTGAAGTACTACTGGATTGAAAGGCACTCATCTTTCAGTTGCTTCACAATCAGAATGGTCATTAAATGCCATTAATTGCCCACTCATATCTCACTGCTTAGTTCAGGCCAAAAAGATCAACCTCCCACTAAAGAGGTGAAATCATCATTCACACTTTAAAAAATACAGTTCAACGACATTTAATTTTCTGCCTCAATCTATAAGATGCTGAAATTAGCACAAAGTGAATTCAAGACCCTAATACAGTATGGCTTTTATTTAAAGTCGATTAAAGCTGACTAAATTCTACATCCCATAATAGATAAATGGGCATGTGGTGGGGGGTGAGGAGGATGAAGAACTAAAACCTTTACCTACATAATCATGATAGTATTCCATAAGAACATATTAAGAGACAGCAACGCATGGAGCTTCATTTTATCAAAAAAATACACAATTAGCTTACAAAAGTCTTAAGGAATATATGCAGAAAATGAATGCAAACTTTAATAGTGAGAAAAACAAGCGTCTCCACACCCTGTGAAGTAACAGGTTTAGGCTTGTTTGTACAGCTCCCTAAAAATTAATGTGAGAGTACAAAAGCTGAAATTCACAAAATTGGTCAAGAAATGGGTGAAAAACAATTTCACTCTAGTTTGAAACCTCTAGTCATACAAAATAGGTTGCCCTTACACACTTATTAAGCATTTTAATTTACTTTGGTATACTGACTAAAAGATGCTTGGATTAAACTGAACAAAAACTATTATTTGTGCCCGAATAATTTTTTTCATGTTTAAGAGTAGCTAGCCTCACTATTGAAATTTCTAAGACTACCTGAGTGTTATTTTTTCCCAAAGTGGTGTCATTTTATTTGCCTCTCAGGAAAAAGCAATAAAATCAATAAACTAAAACACAGCATTGCAATTTGCAGTAAAATCAACACATTTTTGTAAACGGTTTAGGGAAGAAAAAAAGCCCAGTCTTTCCATGTAAACATAATAAGCCTGTAATATGCTGCAGACAAACGCACTGCATGGGGTGTGGAGGACCCGAGCTGATTAGATTACCACAACATCAGCCTGGGGCCGCCATTTTTAGAATCTGTAAAGGACAAAAGAGGGATATTTCACTTTTTACTCCCCATCTTGGAAATTAAAAGGAAAAACGGACTACTTTCCAATTAGGTATTGGTATCTCCAGCCTAGAACTTAATGCACCTCACCTAATTCTCTCCAAGGTCTCCAGAACTCCAAACACTTTACGTTATTCACATCACTAAAAAGGGGCAATCAGAAAAAACGGGGTTTACTCTAAAGCTAACTCTAGCGATTTCTTTGACTTTAAATGGTATCGTTTTTAAGACACAGTCTAGCAAAAACGGATCTCCACGAAACTAAGGGCAGTGGAAGAGGGCACTCCGGATTGTTTTTTCTCTCCCTCCTCCCCCGTTTAGCACAGTGAACCGTTTGTTTCTCTTCTGTGCCTGCTGCCAGTGTTTGTGCCGATCCCTTGGTCAAAATAAGCTTTTCTGAAATGTGCCATATTGTGGATTCTAAGGCTCTGGTACAGTAAAGGACAGCGATAACCACAACAGGAGTGGGGGAGGAGACTGAGAAGGCTGGGTACTGGGGTGACCACCTCAGGGGCGGGTTTACCTTCTCCCGGAGAGGATGAGAAGCCGTCTCGTTTTCCCACAAAGGGAGATAGAGACCCAGGGCGTTCTCTTAACCCCCTTCGTACTGATAAAATTATACCGGAGGCTGGCAGTGAATAAATGGAAGAAGAAAATGAGGCCTAGATATTTTTTTAGTACCTGAACAAGATGCGGTGGAGGGAAGGGAGGGCTGGCAGCTACCGGGACCACTTCGACACAAACCCTAACAGTCACAAGCCTCTCTCCTCACCCAAGCAGCCTTAACCCGCTGCCAAGGAGGAGTACACCCCCTCCCTAACTCCCACTCTCAAGGGGGTTTAACTGCCAGTTTCTCCTTCCCCAACCCTAAAACCCGCCATAATGCTCCCTTTCTAAGGAGAGGGAAGAGAAAGAATAAATTCTATTCAAATAAGCCAAGTCTTGCCCCAACCAAGGCATCTGAGAGTCAACGTCGACTCCCCCTCCGAGAGGATAAAGATGAGAAGGCCCCTTCCCCCTGGAAACACACGTCCCTTCACCCCTTAAGCCCCATGAACTCCCAAAGAGACGACAGGCACTGACCTGTGCTGTTCACACACCAGAGACCCGAACCCCGTTATTTGTTCGACCACCAAGCAGTCTCTCCACACCTCCACGATCAGACGACCACCCGACAGCAGACACTGCGGACACAGGACCCGGCTCCACACACCCCCTCCCCAAACAGCAGCGCGCAGCCTCTTCAGCAACCGAGAGGTAGGGGAGGGGGCACTCAGGCAGTCAATAGGAACGCAGAGGCCACGGCGAAGCTGCTCAGAGTGTCTATGTCCTTTCTGTTGCCGCTCCCGAGCTCAGGTACGGTCTCCGATTCGGCCCCCTGCGCCCGCTCAGTGTCACTGCCTCTTGCTCTGGGAAAATGGCGGCGACGGCGGCGGCGGCCGCGGCGGCGACGGCGGCGGCGGCGGCCGCGGCGGCGGCGGCCAGTGCACGGGGCCCGCCCGCCCCGCTCCGCAGGGGCAGAGGGGGTGGGGACGAAGGTGCCCGCCGCCATTTTGCTTGTGGGCTGCCGCCCTCAGCCGTTGCATTTCTCGAAGTCCCAAGATAGGCAACGGGAGGCGGAGAAGTGGACAGAATATGTCTTTTTCACAAAAGATACATTCAACAATTCACCGAAGGTTTGGGGAAATTTCGGTATTTGGTGAGATTGGTTCTTTACCCCTTTTCCCTATCCCTATCGTTGAGCTTGGGTACGCCACGACACGGTGGGAGAATGACTGTAGGCCCTGGGAAGGACCACCCCTCCCATCTCCCTCCTAAATCAATGCACTCTCCCCCACTCCTCAAACCACCTCAGTCCCAGTCTTCGCCTTCCCCCCCCCTCCCCCCTTCAGGCCTCCAGTGCAGCTTGAACTCGGTTAGGGTGTAAATCGACACCCACTAGGGGCTGAGAAGGATCCAGTGCGCAGGCTCCGGGCACCGGATAAAAGAGGAGCTGGCGAGGCCAGAGCCGTCCTGATGGAGGAGCGAGAAACGGAAGAGGTCGGGGGGGTGAAGGAGCAAGAAAAATACAGCCACCGTCAGCGCCGCCTCCCTGCCACCGTGTATCGGGGTAAAACGCTGTCGTTGCAGTTCCCGTCGCTGTCTTCTACTTCTTTTCGCCCCAGGGACGGACTTCCCCGCCAGCGGGACAATGCGGGACGGGAGAGGGAATTCTTTTTATGTGACTGGTTCAATGGGGGAGGGGCAGACGGTTATCTCGAAGAAAAAAAGGGCAAGACCAAATAAAAAAACTTGGGTTTCCCCCCACTAAAATGGCACGGTGGTTCCCGCTCCTGTTTTCGGGGTCTTTCCCCGAAATGGCGGTTTCCGTCTTGTCCTTGCCTCACTGCGACCCGAAGCCTTTGGTAGGCGGAGTGGGGAGAGGCAGAGGTGGTTCATGCAGCCAATTAGCGCTTGATGTGTTTTGTCGGGCGCGTTGTGATTGGCTAGCGATGACCTCATGCTGCAGCAGCGGGTAGGGCGACAGTGGTTGGGGGAGGCTGTTGCAAAGGCAGAGAGGGAGAAGTGACGGTGGAGTTCGTTGCTGCCCCGGCGATGTGGAACCCAAGCAGTGGCGAAGGGAATCTCAAGGCTCTTCCCTGACATTTTCTCCTGTCCCTGCGCGAGGTGAGGGCCCCGGCTCGGCCTCTGCGGAACTTTAGGGCGCTGGCGCGGAGGAGGAGACACAATTTTTTCCGTGACTTTTGTAACTGCGTCAGGGCAAGATGGCGCTGGGTCTCCTTGGGGCGCGGGGGGAGAGGCACGTCCGCCGTCGCCGCCGCCGCAACGCATGTGACTGGGCTGCATTCCTGTGGGGTTTGGCTCAGTCCCAGGCTGGGGCGGGGGAGGGGAAAGGGCTTGGGCGGAGGAGACTGGTGCGGTCGGCCTTGGCGGCCTGAAGAGGAAGAGATGACTGTTTGAGAGTGCGTCCCCTCCCCCATACAGTTTACTGCTGCGACACGGGGGCGGGGGGGGGGAATGCGGGGAGCCCCCGGAGGGACACTCCTTACCGGGTGTGACGGCTGATGGAGGAGGTTTGACTCCCTGTTTTGTTATCTACTTATCTCCTTGCAAAGTATACTTACGTAATGTGGCAGGTCCCTAATGTGGAAATCTGAAGCAACTGACTCCTTGAGGGCCACTAGACTGAATGAAAAGGAGAGACTAGCTCCTGGGCCACAACGCTAGGAGTATCAATTATTTTCTGAGAAAACGTACAGTTTCTCAGATCCAAGTAAGAAATGGTCCCTAAATTTGGAAGCAGGTTTAAAGAACACTCAGGAACCCCTTTTAATTTTCTAAAAGTGACAAGAAACCATGGAATTATGTCATCGGTATTTGGAGGGCCCTTTTCAAACTTTCTGTACCTCCCATCCGTACTTTCTTCGCGTATCTTTCTTATCTGTATATTCTGTAACAATGTGCAATCTTACCAATGTATTTGCTTTTCTGTTTAAGTTTAGGCATCATTAGTAATACGCAATAAAAACTGCTAGTGTAATCTGAAGTTTTAAAGCTGTTTTCGATACTTTTATGTTGTCGTTCTGTCGCCCTCTTAACTAGTTTTCTTAAAGGAAGTTATAATCACTAGGTAAATTTTAAGATTCCTGCACCATTATGAACGTTAAAACTTACTACTTTAAATCACTTTTGTCGAAGTGTGAGCTTCAGTTTTAGTTTCTGAAACCTTGCTAAGTGAAGATCTCCAGCAGTTCACGATTTCCTAAGGTCTAACTTGGCAGATGCAGTAAGAGACACTCATTTTGATTATTCCCACTTGGCTAAGCTAGTATAGAGGCCATCAACTGAAAGAGTGAAGATTTAAAATAATTCTCCAGTGTCTGCGAGAATTGGGAATTTTTCAGCTAGGACGTTTGCATCTGAAGCCTGGCTTGTTTTTTTTTGACAGTGCCACTCCTATTTGATGCCAGGAGATGTTTACTGGACCTGAAAAGATAAGTTTAACTTAGGGTTAAGGTTGCGCTGGTTCCTTTAATGTTAGTTGTGGGCTTGGTAGGTTAAAAACAAGATTGATATTTTTAATTAATTCGTGTATACTTAAGTCCTTCCTCATTTTTGTGGCTTTTTTTTTTTTTAGTGAAGTTAACAATGGGAATGAACTGAAAAGCCAGTGATTAATCAATTTTTGTTCACTCCGAATATAAATGGGTGTTTTTCCTATAAGGACTCGTGAATAGCTTCAGTGGTCTATTGTATGTGAGTTGTCTGAACTACCATCTCAGCAACTTTTATTCTTGCTTAGAGAAGAGGGAGTAAATATGATGTCAGGTTTTTTAATGTAATTTTTAGACAGTTCCTAGTTTTTGTGTGCCTTTATAAGGAAAAGAGGCAGCTTATGAAAATAACTATTTGCAATTACTAACTTTCTTTGACTAACTTAACTGCTTTTTATGTTTGGCGGCAATTTCATTGGTGCCTGTTCCTGGATAATTCCTACATTTTCATCTCAGAGCTTCAGATGGAATGTACAGGGGCCACAGGTTTCCTAAACTCCTGTAAAAAACATTAAGCTTAGTACTTGATTCCTAAGAATTTTCTTCACCTATTCTCTCAGAAAATTTATTTCACTTCTCATATTTCATTATCTTAGGAAATCATGCCCCAACCTTCCTTTCCCTATTACTCTTCAAATCTAACCCTGATGGGCTAAACTGAATACCATCTCTAAATAGTGTGCTATTTCATATCTTCAGTGCCTGTGTTCACAACTGTCTGAAGTGCTTCTTCCTGCTTTTAGTTAATACAGCTTGAGCCTTTGTCTCTGAAACTCTTCTGAATCACTATTTCCAAGTAAAATAAGCCAGTCTTTATATTGGTGACCTAACCCAATGCTTGACACTTTGTTGATATTCAGGTGTACACACTTCTTTAGAGATTGATAACACTTTACTATTGTACCATACAGTCCAAACTGTAAAATAATTTCACTTAAAAAAAATGTTTGACCATCAGAGTTTAGAGAAGAAATGAAAGATTAGGGAGGCCAGGGGCAAGGTCTTCTCTTAAAAGATGGGTAGGAAATTGGACCCAGCTGATGGGACAGAGATAGTTCTGCCCCCAAAAAGATGGAAAGAAAAAAAACTGGCCTTTTTGCTTCTCAGCCTTTTGGCTAAGATCAAGTGTCATATCTGTTCTTATCAGTTTCATATCTGACCTTTTCTATCCAAGGAGAGTATATTAAATATATTTCTGGAGCAGGGAGATGGAATAGGGACTTGCTCTGTCCATTCTGCATATCAACAGGGTATTGCAGTACTTACGGGAATGGAGTACCAAGGGAAAAAAAACTGGCCTTAATTTTAGTCGACATCCATATTTCTCAAATCGAGAGGACATTTTAACCTACAGAATTCCAACAGTATGTAAAACCAGAGATTTTTGTAGGTTGTATAATTCCTTGATGCATTTAGGGTTTATCCAGGTGTGTAGCACTGCTTGCTCTGATATTGGAGGACTCAGGTTGTTATGCCCTTGAGTTTAATTATTTTCATCACTTTTCTTGTCATTGGTTAGTGCCAAGTTCAAAGTAAAAATATTTTGAATCATCTGTGACTTAATTGGATTTTGTTTCTACATGAAATTTTCCTCTGCTCCATCCCCAGCCGACTTCAGTGTCCTCTAAATGTGGAATGAAAAGATTTATATCTGAGAATAGTTTGAAATTAAATCATTAAATACACTTTAAAATGTTAGGGTTAAACAATGTATACAGCCTGATAAGTTTAACTTCCTGAAAAGTGAGTGAAATGCTATCTTTTCCTCAGCAAGGGGTTCCTTACATGAACACTAAACCTGAAATCCATATTTATAAATAGTATTGAAAACTTTCAAGGGTTGTGGATACCTTGAATCAACTCAAATTATTTTTCTTAAGAGAGAAGTAATACATTTATTCCTAAGTATTCAAAAAACATTTTCAAAGTTACCTGCCTTCTGCTATCCAAAAAGATTAGGCCCATAGTCTCCCTATTGACTGTTTATGTTTAGTTCAAGTTTAAAACATCTTCAAATATGGAATTTCATCTGGAAACTGGAGACACTAATAGTATTGTTTCTACCTAAATGAAGCAAATAAGCTAGCAAAAAAAAAAAAAAAAGGCTTATAGAGCCCACCGTTCTCTGGACTGATTTAACAGTAGATTTAGTAAAAAGGGTCTTTTACTGTGTAACACAGTGTCAAATCTAAAAGCAGAGCCAGTGTAGAAGAGCTGTAAAATCTACCAGTGGTCCTTCATTTGCTTGGAGAAGTGAGTGGTGGTTTAAACAGAACAAAATTTTGAGGGTAACTAGTTTATTCCTATTTTGAGCTCATGATTTTTTTTTGTTGTTTTTAAAAAAAAAGTATTTTATGGCCTTTTTCTTCAATGAATATATTTGCCATAAGCATTGAAGTATGCAGCATTTATCTTGCATTGGACCTTTTATTTAAAAAATTGGGTTTGGGTTTTTTGTTTCATCCTTTTTTGTAAACACACCGCAAAACAGTGGCAGTCAGCATTGTCTGAGGTATAGGATATATCTTCAATAAACAAATTTTGATGTGGTACTGGTCCAAAATAATTGTATATCAACCTAGTTAATAAACAGTGATTCATATAACTGAAAAGTGCCCCTCCCAAAGTATACTGATACTTGTGT